TGGTAAGTCGCCTTGGTAAAAAGCCGGTGAAAATGATAAAGTAATGAATACTTGATTCCAACCCTCTTTTTTTAAAAAGCAGGTAAAAAAGGTAACTCAAATAACCAAATTCAACCTAGCTAATTTCTGATTCATACAAATTTTGTTTGACTACAGAGGTAGCAAAACTGTACTTAAAATCTTTGATGCTCCCCCACTTAACAGACTAGTTGGGCCCAAGCTTGTTGTTCAACATTAAAATCCATTCAGTCTGTCCACAAACAGGCTCTCAAAGTGCTTAATAAAAAGCCCAATAGCCCTCATCACTGTTACATCATCCAAAAAGCATGAGCTCCTGAGTTGGGAAATTTTGGTGCAATATACCGACCATGTCTTGTATTCAAGATCAAATGGCCGGGATCCCCCTCCACTTAGTACTTTTGTTAAACAGAAAACCCAAACCCATGGTAGCAGATCCACAAGGTCTGCCATGAGAGGCGACTGTATAGTTCCCTTAAGGAAAAGCACCTTTGTAAATCGCTTCTGTGAGAAGCTTCCCATGTCTGGAAAAACACTGCCATCAGATACACATAACTGCACCACCTATCCCCCTTTCACAAAAAACATAAAGACATGGAAAAAGGCCCAACCCAGACTTGTGAACGTAATCCCTAGCTGTGTATTGCCGCTTTCCATGTTATCTGTAGTTGTGAGGTGTGGAAACCCTTTGCTTTATTTTTTTTTTTTGTTTTTTGTTTGTCGCTTTTGTTGTTCTATGTTGCTCTTTGTCGGGGCAGGGGTTTTTTATGGTGTTGCTTTTTCTATGTTGCTCTGCATGTACTCACTGCTCATTGTTTATCTGTATTATATTGTAATTTTTTTAATAACCTGCCCGGGGACTGCGGTTGAAAATGAGCCGGCTGGCTAAAACTGGCCACTTTACTGAAACCATTGATTAATGTGCACTGTCCCTGTAAAAATAAAATAAACTCGAACTCAAATATTTACAATGGTGTTTGTTCTTCACTGGTTTTCTTTCTTGTGGCAACAGGTCACAAATCTTGCTGCTGTTGATTGCACTCTGTGGTATTTTCACCCAATAGATATGGGAGTTTATCAAAATTGGATTTGTTTTTGAATTCTTTGGTGGGTCTGTGTAATCTGAAGGAAATATGTGTCTCTAATATGGTCATACATTTGGCAGGAGGTTAGAATGCAGCTCAGTTTCCACCTCATTTTGTGGGCAGTGTGGCAACCTTTCTCAATAGCAAGGCTATGCTCACTGAGTCTGTACATAGTCAAAGCTTTCCTTAATTTTGGGTCAGGTCACAGTGGTCATGTATTCTGCCACTGTGTACTTCTCTGTTTAGGGTCAAATAGCATTCTAGTTTGCTCTGTTTTTTTGTTAATTCTTTCCATGTGTAAAGTAATTATTTTTTTTTTCCCCTCAAATTTTTGGGTTGGTCTAATTTGTGTTGCGTCCTGGGGCCTGTGGGTCTTTTTTCTATTTGTGAACAAAGCCCCAGGACCAGTTTTGCTTAGGGGACTCTTCTCCAGGTTAAATCTCTGTAGGTGATGGCTTTGTTATGGAAGGTTTGGGAATCGCTTCCCTTTTAGGTGGTTATAGAATTTAACGGGTTTTTCTGGATTTGATAATTAGCGGGTAATCGGTTTTCTTATTTTTTTTGTACACTGAGGATATTTTTGCAGAATTCTGCATCAGAGTCTCAATTTGGGGTTGTCCCATTTTGTGAATTCTTGGTTGGTGGCAACCCCAGACCTCACAACCATAAAGGGCAATGGGTTCTCCCCCTCTTCTCTCCTCCCCTTTTTCATTCCTCTTTCTTTTTCCTATTTTCTTCCGCTTTTCTTCTCATTCTACTTCCTCCTTTCTTCTTTCAATTCCTAATTTCTTATACAGTTTTGTTGATCTCTCCGCTCTCTTCTCTTCCGCTCTCCTTCTGCTTTTCCCCTCAAAAAAACTCCCAACAACGCTCTTAGATGAAATTTTTTAAAATCCCAACAGGTGAAATAATCACCAGTAATAAAAAACAGGTAACCTTAATCACAAAAGTTCCAAAGGGAAAAGGAATTTCCCAAAGCACCTATAAAAGGGGTTATTTAAAAAATTGTGATGTTCTCCCTTTTTCCCTCGGCGTCCCCTCCGGACTCTTGCCCAAAAAAACAACAAAGCTTTCCCCCAAGGTGAAAAAGCTCCCTACAGTGTCTTGACTCCACCTTTCTAACTCCTTTTCTGAAGGAACAAAACCCAAACAAAACCTTAGCTGAACAGCTCGGGGTGAAACAAAACAGTTTTTAATTCCCTTTTCCCCCTGGTACCACCATTTATAAGGGAAATGTTTTAAAAGCCCCATCTTTGGTTTTTTTCCCGGATGTGACATCGTAATACACCCCTCCCCCTCTTTCTGTGCGTCACCACCATAGTGGGCTAAGCTGCAAGCCACAGCTTGTTCAAAGAGACTCCCATCCTGTGTCTTTCCACTGATTGACTACCCCCTCAATGTCTTCCCAGTTCCCACCATCTGGTTCAATAGGCCATCATGTCTCCCTCAATAGACAGTCAATGAGATGAGGGAGATGTATTACTCTAAACTACGCTCCTCTGTTGGGATGAGGAAGGCCATTTGATCAGGGTTTAATGATGCCTTTTGGCTCTGTGATGGTGTGTCCTCCTGAGTGATGGGTGTGTGTGAACAGACAGATCCCCCCTCGGTGCCCAGATTGGCACCACTATGGAGGCGATAGACAGACAGGCTCAAGAGAGGGTGTTATCTGAAATCAGCATTTGTTTCCCTGCTGGACCCATCCTGAAACAGGGAGCTTTGACTTGTCAGAGATCATGTGGGCATATATTCAAGGAAAGGTTGCCTCTATGTTTACCGAAGAAACCTGCTGTGTCTTTGGTCAAACTGACTCATTATGATTTTCACTGGTGTAATTTCTCTTCCACATGTCCCCTCACACGTTTGTTTGTTCCTCCACAGTGTGTTTGTGTACCGTCTGCTTGATGTTTGAGTGAGTTGTTTCTCAGTATCGGGGGAAAGACTGGGAAGCCAATATGTCATGTTGTCAGTGGACTCTGCCCCTCCACGCTGGAGGGAGGAAGGGATGTGAAGATGGAGGTGTGACGTGTGCGTGTGTGCGTGCGTGTGTGTGTGTGTGTGTGTGTGTGTGTGTGTGTGTGTGTGTGTGTGTGTGTGTGTGTGTGTGTGTGTGTGTCCTCAGACAGACACTCATAAACAGTGGGGACCCAGCCATAGGGAGGAGTTACACACACCTCTCTGTAGCCAGTGGCACATTAGAAAGTGGAACACTGAACATCATGCTCAGCAAACATGCCCACATTGGCAAAGATATTGGCCCGTGTAGGCTGCCCACATAGACTAAATATTGGCCCCGTGTAGGCTGCCCACATAGACTAAATATTGGCCCCGTGTAGGCTGCCCACATAGACTAAATATTGGCCCTGTGTAGGCTGCCCACATTGGATAAATATTGGCCCCGTGTAGGCTGCCCACATTGGATAAATATTGGCCCTGTGTAGGCTGCCCACATTGGCTAAATATTGGCCCCGTGTAGGCTGCCCACATTGGCTAAATATTGGCCCTGTGTAGGCTGCCCACATTGGCTAAATATTGGCCCTGTGTAGGCTGCCCACATAGACTAAATATTGGCCCCGTGTAGGCTACCCACATTGGGCTGAGGCGCCTTCGCTCATCGTCTCCACGTTGGCCCCCAAGGCATTTGCCCAGTGTTGCCCAGTATGGGCAGCTCATATCTGGTGAGGGCAGCCCTTACTTGGCCTGAAATAAGCCTATCTTTTCCCACAAAACATGCCCACATGGCACGAAGCACCTTTAGTATTGAATAGGAATCTATTTATGTATTTAATTATTACAAGTTAATTCAATGCATACATTTACATTACATTTTAGTCATTTAGCAGATGCTCTTATCCAGAGCGACTTACAGTTAGTGAGTGCATGCATTTTTTATTTTTTTCCATACTGGCCCCCTGTGGGAATCGAACCCACAACCCTGGCGTTGCAAACGCCATGCTCTATCAACTGAGCTACATCCCTGCCGGCCATTCCCTCCCCTACCCTGGACAATGCTGGGCCATTTGTGCACCGCCCCATGGGTCTCCGGTCGCGGCCGGCTACGACAGAGCCTGGATAAGTTGCATATTTTTATAAAGTATATTTAGGAAACATGATACATTGTATCAGAAAGACAACCAAACCACGCCCCCAAATAGTTGAATGAGCCCCCGACTTTATCTGGGCTTGGTGTGGGCTAGCCTGTGCTGGGCTTGGTGTGGGCTAGCCTTAACTGGGCTTGGTGTGGGCTAGCCTTAACTGGGCTTGGTGTGGGCTAGCCTGTACTGGGCATGGTGTGGGCATGCTGTTACATGTTACAAGCATTAACATGTAATAGGACAGAGACTTGTCACTGGATAAAACTGTTACTGACACATGAGCTAGAGATAGTAATGTCAGCAGGGCCAGTCTGGACTAAGGAGGCCCAGGAACGAACAGTCTCTAATTAAGCAAAGGGATTTCACAAACTCACCACAAGTGTAGGTGAGGGAGAGAGAGGAGGAGAAGGAAGAGAGAGAGAGAGAGAGAGAGAGAGAGAGAAGAGAGAGAGAGAGATAGAGAGAAGAGAGTAGAGAGAGAGAGAGAGAGAGAGAAGAGGATGTAGAGAGAGAGAGAGAGAGAGAGATGCGAGAGCGGAGAGATCTCTCTCGAGACGAGATGTCCAGCGACTACGAGCTGAGCTAGATCCGAGATCTCTCTCTCTACTCTCTCTCTCTCTCTCTACTCTCTCTCTCCTCTCTCTCTTAGCTCTCTCTCCTGCTCTCTCTCTCTCTGGAAGATCTGGAGCTCTCTCTCTTCTCCCTTTTCCTGTGTCCTTAAGTGACATATTGCATGTGTAATGAACTTAAAGGGAGTGTAATTGACTATAAGCATTTGAATGAATGAGGGAACAATCTTGCATTTGTTCATAATTGCAATAGCTTTATTTTTCTTAAAACATTTATGCAATTATAAAAGTTGACATTATTCAACATTTAACAAGGTAAAAACAAACACATAAATATTTGAGTGTGAAGGTTTGGTTTACATTTCTCACCCTGCACTAAATAATAATAAATAGGATCTTCTGGGCATATGCCCAGTTTTATTTCCATGTTTTACAGTGCAGTTCAGGGTATGAGAGAATCACTCAAAATGTTTCAGAGGATCAAGGAGTGGTGTTGGTTTGGGCCAATTAGTTGGTGTTGGTGAAGGCCTGGTAGAGTGCGGTGAGCTGGGCCTTCAGGTCCTGGGCGTAGGGGTCCAGCTTGTCCTTCAGGTCCTCAGCGTAGGGGACTAGACTCTGCTGCACCATCTGAGCTCTGGTGGTCAGCTGGCTCTGGAGATTCTCAGCCAGGGGGGCCATACTCTTTTGGAAGTCCTGCAGGCGCAGGTCCACTTTCTGCTTCAGCTCATCAGTGTAGGGACCCAGCTTGGACTGCAGCTCCTTCACACTCTGCTCCAGACTCCCCTTCAGCTCCTCACTCTTCTGGAGCAGGGTGGCCCTCAGGGCCTCGGAGTCCAGGGACTCTGCATAGGGGGCCAGATCCTGTTTCAGCTGCTCCACTCTCTGCTGGACTTGTGTCTTGATCTCCTCTGCGTAGGGTTCCAGGTTTCCCTTGATGCTGCCCAGGTCCTGCTCCAGACGCTCTCTCAGCACCTCGGCTTCCTGGGTAATCTTGGTCATCAGGTCCTTGGCTGCAGGAGGAAGCTGCTCCTGAAGGGAGACAGCGTATTGGCTGGCCACATCAGCGCTCTCTGTGATTCGGTCACTGCAGGAGAGGAGAGGGGTCTGGTCAAGTCAGGATTCTAGTACTCTGAGGGCTTCCACTACAGACATTACACACATGTTATGACAACTACATCACAGGTCACATTACTTACTTGACATCCTGTCCCAGCTGAGACTTCCTGATCATCTGGACGGTGTCGTCGGCAGTTTTTGTTGCCTTGGCGACATAGTCCCAGAAGGCATCTGTCAGCTGCTCCAGCTGTGGCTTGGGCTCATCAGCGTAGAATAGGTTAGCATGGCAACCTTTTGGGGTGTGGAAGTAGAGTTAGTTCCTGTGAAAACGCAAGTTTAACCTGACCTACTTTATGACCTTACACTGTTAAAGGAGCTTGAAGTAGGCCAAGTTTAAAATAATAATAATTCAAATAATCTTGTTGCATTCAAAGGTTTCAATAAATAAAAAATTGAGAGTAGTTATGGTTGTGGTAACATTAGATGTTACTTACCAGAGAGTACAGCAATTGCAAGCACCATGAACACCTTCATATTTGCGTTTCTCACTGAAACAGAAACATCATTGATCAATTACACTTCAATTACATTTGAATCTTAGAACCCTAAAATCATAGTTTCTCAACACCTTGTTTTGAATCTCAGCATTGGCCTCACCTGTTTTTTTCCTGGTGTATCTCTGTGTATTCAGTCTGTCTGTGTGTCTCTCAGGCCAGTGCCGTGCTGTATATATAGTGGAAACCAGAGGTGTAGCTGAAAGCCCAAAGTCCAGGACTTACTGCCATGTCACCTCTCTTCCTGGCTGGCTGTCATCACATGACTGTGCGGTTACTATATCGACACGCACACACACACACACACACACACACACAAATCACAATGACAATACATTATTTTGTTACATTCATATTCACTCTCTGAGCCTGACAGACTGAACATGGACAGACCAGACTTGATTAACCTTGCTTTGATTGAACTTCAGTATGTTTCCTTTGGGAATCTCCCCCACCACCACCATGGTCCTTTTTATTGGTTATATTCTAATTAGACAACTGTGCATGGACCTTAACCCTTCTACTGAAGCCTCATTCTAGAGAAGACTTACAGTCAGGGGTGGAACATTCACTTGGGACATGCCCCCCCCCCACATTCTGAAATTGCATTCCCCCCCCCCCCCCCCCCCCCCCCCACACACTTTTATCATTGGAATGTGATACAAAACAGGCAACGGTGTGCTTTAGGACCATGCGGACATCTCTGAGCGGTTGGGTAGGCTGTTTGGAGTGTTCATCCAACTGGATAAAAATAAAATAAAGTACAGAACCAGTCAAAAGTTTGGACACACATGCTATTTTCTACATTGTAGAATAATAGTGAAGACATCAAAACTATGAAATAACACATATGGAATCATGTAGTAACCCAAAAAGTGTTAAACAAATCAAAATATATTTTAGATTTTAGATTCTTCAAAGTAGCCACCCTTTTCCTTGATGACGGCTTTGCATTCTCTCAACCAGCTTCATGAGGTAGTCACCTGGGATGCTTTTCCAACAGTCTTGAAGGAGTTCCCACATATGCTGAGCACTTGTTGGCTGCTTTCCCTTCACTCTGCGGTCCAACTCATCCCAAACCATTTCAATTGGGTTGAGGTCGGGTGACTGTGGAGGCCAGGTCATCTGATGCAGCACTCCATCACTCTCCTTCTTGGTCAAATAGCCCTTACACAGCCTGGAGGTGTGTTTTGGGTCATTGTCCTGTTGAAAAACAAATGATAGTCCCACTAAGCGCTAACCAGATGGGATGGTGTATCACTGCAGAATGTGGTGGTAGCCATGCTGGTTAAGTGTGCCTTGAATTCTAAATAAATCACAGACAGTGTCACCAGAAAAGCACCCCCACACCATCACACCTCCTCCTCCATACTTCACGGTGGGAACCACACATGCGGAGATCATCAGTTCACCTACCCTGTTGGAACCAAAAAGCTCAAATTTGGACTCATCAGACCAAAGGACAGATTTCCACCGGTCTAATGTCCATTGCTCGTGTTTCTTGGCCCAAGCAAGTCTCTTCCTATTATTGGTGTCCTTTAGTAGTGGTTTCTTTGCAGCAATTCGACCATGAAGGCCTGATTCACGCAGTCTCCTCTGAACAGTTGATGTTGAGATGTGTCTGTTACTTGAACTCTGTGAGGTGCAATCTGAGGTGCAGTTAATTGCCGATTTCTGAGGCTGGTAACTCTTATGAATTTATCCTCTGCAGCAGAGGTAACTCTGGGTCTTCCTTTTCTGTGGCGGTCCTCACGAGAGCCAGTTTCATCATAGCGCTTGATGGTTTTTGCGACTGCACTTGAAGAAACTTTCAGACTGACCTTCATGTCAAATTAATGATGGACTGTCGTTTCTCTTTGCTTATTTGAGCTGTTCTTGGACTTGGTCTTTTACCAGATAGGGCTATCTTCTGTATACCAACCCTACCTTGTCACAACACAACTGATTAGCTCAAACACATTAAGAAGGAAATAAATTCCACAAATTAACTTTTAACAAGGCACACCTGTTAATTGAAATGCATTCCAGGTGACTACCTCATGAAGCTGGTTGAGAGAATGCCAAGAGTGTGCAAAGCTGTCATCAAGGCAAAGGGTGGCTACTATGAAGAATCTCAAATATAAAATATATGTTGATTTGTTTAACACTTTTTTTGGTTACTACATGATTCCATATGTGTTATTTCATAGTTTTGATGTCTTTACTATTTTTCTACAATGTAGAAAATAGTAAAAAATAAAGAAAAACCCTGGAATGAGTAGGTGTGTTCAAACTTTTGACTGGTACTGTATGTCCCCCCCCTACGGATGCTGGCATGAGTACATTTTACTTTTCAATTTGATGCTTTCGACAAGGACATGATTGCATTATCGACAACCTGGCATTTGTTTAACCATCAAAGGTAGCATCCCAACGTTTGTGTCACCTCAACTGCCAACGCAAACCTATAGCGCAGTGTCAACCTTCACACATTTTAGTCATCACTGGGGCCAGAGGTTATTTGAGGTGTTGAATGTTGCACTGTAGTGCATTTACATTGGGAATAGTAGATCACAGACAACACCCTCTCCTTACTCTACTCTCTATAGAGTGACACTGTGACTAGAGAAGATGGTTTGTAATGAGGCACGGTGGGTTGATAAGAGGTTTAGAACTCAACTCCTGACTTCACAGCTCCAGGTTACCAGGATGTGACATCATGAATAACTCAAGTGTTGTAGAATGAGTGCTGTGAAGATTCTCCCTCTGACCATTCTCTGGGTAGACTGATCCACCTTTTTGACATGGTAATGTCGTTCCCAGACACCTCTTTGCGCAATAACCTGGGGGCGAGGTTATGACATGGTAAACTACCAGTATAGCACATTTTCCTGTAAACAGTAACCCCCTATCCATTTAAACAGAATAACTACAGTTTGACAAAGGGGGAGCTTTACTTTGAAAAATGAAAGTCTACTGTAACATTTAATTGATTCCAAATAAGTTCCTAGACACCATACCTTATCTACTAGCTATTGTAGAATCACGTCTAACGAATGGCCTGGACCCCTAACCCTAGACCCTATCATAGTGTGTATGGGTCAACTGAACTTCGGTCAGGCAACTGACACATGGAAGTGCTTGAACACATGACCTCACAGTGAAACTGAAAACTATATCATACAATATATTCTGGGAGTCAATGCCAGCTGGCTGGACATCAAACTAAAACTGACTATAAATCAATACCATATCTGATAAGACTGTGATATCTCATAAAGGTTGGGAGGAAGGTGTGTCTGGACAAAGTGCTATTTATGTCTGAGAAATGGCTGTGACTTTCTGTGCCATCAAGGAAAAATCCATGAAACTGACCTGGTGTGAATCAGATACTCACTTTCAGCATTGTAGAGTTGTAGCGTCATATACAATGAGGGAATTAAGTATTTGATCCCCTGCTGATTTTGTACGTTTGCCCACTGACAAAGACATGATCAGTCTATAATTTTAATGGTAGGTTTATTTGAACAGTGAGAGACAGAATAACAACAAAAAAATAAAAATAAACGCATGTCAAAATTGTTATAAATTGATTTGCATTTTAATGAGGGAAATAAGTATTTGACCCCTCTGCAAAACATGACTTAGTACTTGGTGGCTAAACCCTTGTTGGCAATCACAGAGGTCAGACGTTTCTTGTAGTTGGCCACCAGGTTTACACACATCTCAAGATGGATTTTGTCCCACTCCTCTTTGCAGATCTTCTCCAAGTCATTAAGGTTTCGAGGCTGACGTTTGGCAACTCGAACCTTCAGCTCCCTCCACAGATTTTCTATGGGATTAAGGTCTGGAGACTGGCTAGGCCACTCCAGGACCTTAATGTGCTTCTTCTTGAGCCACTCCTTTGTTGCCTTGGCCGTGTGTTTTGGGTCATTATCATGCTGGAATACCCATCCACGACCCATTTTCAATGCCCTGGATGAGGGAAGGAGGTTCTCACCCAAGATTTGACGGTACATGGCCCCGTCCATCATCCCTTTGATGCGGTGAAGTTGTCCTGTCCCCTTGGCAGAAAAACACCCCCAAAGCATAATGTTTCCACCTCCATGTTTGACGGTGGGGATGGTGTTCTTGGGGTCATAGGCAGCATTCCTCCTCCTCCAAACAGTTGAGTTGATGCCAAAGAGCTCCATTTTGGTCTCATCTGACCACAACACTTTCACCCAGATCTCCACTGAATCATTCAGATGTTCATTGGCAAACTTCAGACGGGCCTGTATATGTGCTTTCTTGAGCAGGGGGACCTTGCAGACGCTGCAGGATTTCAGTCCTTCACTGCGTAGTGTGTTACCAATTGTTTTCTTGGTGACTATGGTCCCAGCTGCCTTGAGATCATTGACAAGATCCTCCCGTGTAGTTCTGGGCTGATTCCTCACCGTTCTCATGATCATTGCAACTCCACGAGGTGAGATCTTGCATGGAGCCCCAGGCCGAGGGAGATTGACAGTTATTTTGTGTTTCTTCCATTTGTGAATAATCGCACCAACTGTTGTCACCTTCTCACCAAGCTGCTTGGCGATGGTCTTGTAGCCCATTCCAGCCTTGTGTAGGTCTACAATCTTGTCCCTGACATCCTTGGAGAGCTCTTTGGTCTTGGCCATGGTGGAGAGTTTGGAATTATTGATTGATTGCTTCTGTGGACAGGTGTTTTTTATACAGGTAACAAGCTGAGATTAGGAGCACTCCCTTTAAGAGTGTGCTCCTAATCTCAGCTCGTTACCTGTATAAAAGACAGCTGGGAAACAGAAATCTTTCTGATTGAGAGGGGGTCAAATACTTATTTCCCTCATTAAAATGCAAATCAATTTATAACATTTTTGACATGCGTTTTTCTGGATTTTCTTGTTGTTATTCTGTCTCTCACTGTTCAAATAAACCTACCATTAAAATGATAGACTGATCATGTCTTTGTCAGTGGGCAAACATACAAAATCAGCAGGGGATCAAATACTTAATTCCCTCACTGTATAAAGACAAAAATACATTATGGTTGAGAGAAAATAACATGCTAGTGTATGTAAAAGTGCATAAGCCTCAATACAACACAATCCATCTACCCTCAGATGATATTAACAGTAATAGACCTGTATAAATCAAAGGCCAACAAGTGTCCTGCTGCACATGTATCACTACTGCATATCATTGAAAAACTATAGACAAGGGGATTGAATGGAGATGTGTGTATCAGCATGCAGTCCCAGGAGATTGGTCTTCACTGAGTATCTCTGACCACTATTTAATGTCCCTAACTCTGTTTGTCACACTTTACCCAGAGGTGATGATAACACAGTGCTCTCCTGTGCGTTCTGGGTCCAGGGGTTCATTGGGATAGGTCCAGGGTGAGTTGTCAGGACAGGACTGGGCTGGGACAGAGACAGGTGCTGAGTGGTGCACTGCGGTATGAGGGTTTATGATATGGAGCACTACTGACAGCGAGGCACTGGCTCCTGGACTTTGTGTTCCTTACTGCCCTGCTCACTATATATACAGGCCATGGCACGGCTGAAACTGCACTCACTGCAGACTGGACTCAGAGATACACCAACACTCATACACAAAGACGGTAAGCTGGATTCTACAAGTCCATGGTATTCTTTGATAGCATTCTATGATGGTTATTTTTTCTGGTGGATTACAATGTTTTAAGTGATTGTTGCTTTATTTCACAGAATCTGATTGAGAGTCATGAAGGTCCTTGTGGTACTCACGCTGGCTGTATTCACTGGTGAGTAGGATACAAGAATATTTCAGATTATAAGTGACATTTATAGAGCTGAAGTACAGCAACATAATATATTCAAACAATCTACCAAATTAATTTAAGTCAATAGTCAATAATAACCATGGCAGAGGGAGTATAATAGTTTCTAGTTACCTTAATGCCACCAACAGGTTGCCATGCCTAACCAGTAATGACCCTGAAAAATACAGTTTCACAACAATAACTCTTCTGCCACGCCCCAACAGGTTGCCATGCTAACCTATTCTACGCTGATGAGCCGAAGCCACAGCTGGAGCAACTGACAGATGCCTTCTGGGACTACGTCGCCAAAGCAACGCAAACGGCAGACGACACCGTCCAGATGATCAGGAAGTCTCAGTTGGGACAGGATGTCAAGTAAGTAATGTGACCTGTGATGTAGTTGTCATAACATGGATGGAATGTCTATAGTCAAATCGCTCAGATTACTAGGATGGGGACCTGAACTGCCCTCTCCTCTCCTGCAGTGACCGCATCACAGAGAGTGCTAACGTGGCCAGCCAATACGCCATCTCCCTGCAGGAGCAGCTTCCTCCTGCAGCCAAGGACCTGATGACCAAGATTACCCAGGAGGCTGAGGTGCTGAGAGAGCGTCTGGAGCAGGACTTGGGCAGCATCAAGGGGAAACTGGAACCCTACGCAGAGGAGATGAAGACACAAGTCCAGCAGAGAGTGGAGCAGCTGAAACAGGATCTGGCCCCCTATGCAGAGTCCCTGGACTCCGAGGCCCTGAGGGCCACCCTGCTCCAGAAGAGTGAGGAGCTGAAGGGGAGTCTGGAGCAGAGTGTGAAGGAGCTGCAGTCCAAGCTGGGTCCCTACACTGACGAGCTGAAGCAGAAAGTGGACCTGCGCCTGCAGGACTTCCAAAAGAGTATGGCCCCCCTGGCTGAGAATCTCCAGAGCCAGCTGACCACCAGAGCTCAGATGGTGCAGCAGAGTCTAGTCCCCTACGCTGAGGACCTGAAGGACAAGCTGGACCCCTATGCCCAGGACCTGAAGGCCCAGCTCACCGCCCTCTACCAGGCCTTCACCAAGACCAACTAAATCACAAACACTTTCCTCCAACTGACAACTCTTGCATTCTTGATGACTGTATTCTCCCTTCGAAGCCTTAGAACATGCCACCGTTGTCAATATAATGTGGGAGAGTTTACAAAGATGAACTTGGTAATGCAGATGAGGTCCATTCTGTATTTTGTATGAACTGAATTGGCACTTATGAGAGAATGACATCTTTGTATTTTGTTTGTTTATTACCTGAAGGTTGGTGAGTGACTGTGCCGTATTTGGTGTTGTATTCTTAATTTATGGAAATAAAAAGCTAAACGAAACATAACTTAAATGTATCGTGTCTATGATGTATCGTGTCTATGATGCTAATTTAAATAATTTAAGTTGCTTCCCCAAATTATAATGTGGTGATAAGGGTATGAGGTGGAAAGTCATATTCGGACATACAGTGGGGAGAACAAGTATTTGATACACTGCCGATTTTGCAGGTTTTCCTACTTACAAAGCATGTAGAGGTCTGTAATTGTTATCATAGGTACACTTCAACTGTGAGAGATGGAATCTAAAACAAAAATCCAGAAAATCACATTGTATGATTTTTAAGTAATTAATTTGCATTTTATTGCATGACATAAGTATTTGATTACCTACCAACCAGTAAGAATTCCGGCTCTCACAGACCTGTTCGTTTTTCTTTAAGAAGCCCTCCTGTTCTCCACTCATTACCTGTATTAACTGCACCTGTTTGAACTCGTTACCTGTATAAAAGACACCTGTCCACACACTCAATCAAACAGACTCCAACCTCTCCACAATGGCCAAGACCAGAGAGCTGTGTAAGGACATCAGGGCAACTGTAGACCTGCACAAGGCTGGGATGGGCTACAGGACAATAGGCAAGCAGCTTGGTGAGAAGGCAACAACTGTTGGTGCAATTATTAGAAAATGGAAGAAGTTCAAGATGACGGTCAATCACCCTCGGTCTGTGGCTCCATGCAAAATCTCACCTCGTGGGGCATCAATGATCATGAGGAAGGTGAGGGATCAGCCCAGAACTACACGGCAGGACCTGGTCAATGACCTGAAGAGAGCTGGGACCACAGTCTCAAAGAAAACCATTAGTAACACACTACGCCGTCATGGATTAAAATCCTGCAGCGCACGCAAGGTCCCCCTGCTCAAGCCAGCGCATGTCCTGGCCCGTCTGAAGTTTGCCAATGACCATCTGGATGATCCAGAGGAGGAATGGGAGAAGGTCATGTGGTCTGATGAGACAAAAATAGAGCTTTTTGGTCTAAACTCCACTCGCCGTGTTTGGAGGAAGAAGAAGGATGAGTACAACCCCAAGAACACCATCCCAACCGTGAAGCATGGAGGTGGAAACATCATTCTTTGGGGATGCTTTTCTGCAAAGGGGACAGGACGACTGCATCATATTGAGGGGAGGATGGATGGGGCCATGTATCACGAGATCTTGGCCAATAACCTCCTTCCCTCAGTAAGAGCAATGAAGATGGGTCGTGGCTGGGTCTTCCAGCATGACAACGACCTGAAACACACAGCCAGGGCAACTAAGCAGTGGCTCCGTAAGAAGCATCTCAAGGTCCTGGAGTGGCCTAGCCAGTCTCCAGACCTGAACCCAATAGAGGGAGCTGAAAGTCTGTATTGCCCAGCGACAGCCCCGAAACCTGAAGGATCTGGAGAAGGTCTGTATGGAGGAGTGGGCCAAAATCCCTGCTGCAGTGTGTGCAAACCTGGTCAAGACCTACAGGAAACGTATGATCTCTGTAATTGCAAACAAACGTTTCTGTACCAAATATTAAGTTCTGCTTTTCTGATGTATCAAATACTTATGTCATGCAATAAAATGCAAATGAATTACTTAAAAATCATACAATGTGATTTTCTGGATTTTTGTTTTAGATTCCATCTCTCACAGTTGAAGTGTACCTATGATAACAATTACAGACCTCTACATGCTTTGTAAGTAGGAAAACCTGCAAAATCGGCAGTGTATCAAATACTTGTTCTCCCCACTGTACAAACAGTACATAAACATTGCCCAATAAGACTGGTTGCATGTAGGACCACTGAATGCCACTGATCTAGTCACCTCTCCTCAACATACGCGTATCCCCCTGATGGTTAAAAAGGGGTACAGGTATTGCCTCATATAACATCAGAAATAAGTGTGTATGACAGCATTAACCAACTTTGAAGATGTTTAAATATTACATTTACATTTTAGTCATTTAGCAGACGTTCTTATCCAGAGCGACTTACAATTAGTGCATTCATCTTAAGATAGCTAGGTGGGACAACCACATATCTCAGTCATAGTAAGTACATTTCTTATCAATAAAGTAGCTAAATACCTTACTCAAAGGGAGAGTAAAAGCTATTAGCATTATAGCCTACAGTGTTTGTCTTCAAAGTGGAAGCCATATTACAACCTGTGTCCCCGTGTAGCTCAGTTGGTAGAGCATGGCGCTTGCAACGCCAAGGTTGTGGGTTCATTTCCGCCAGGGGGGCCAGTATGAAAATGTATGCACTCACTAACTGTAAGTCGCTCTGGATAAGAGCGTCTGCTAAATGACTAAAATGTATGTGTTGTGATAATTAAGTTGTTTTCTCTATAACCTGCTAGTTCATATGCCTTGCCACCATGATATATAGGCCTAAGGCCACACCTTTGTTTCATCACAAAAGCGTAGAGCAGCATATGTCCGGTGGAGTCCACAAAGCATATTGCATGTAACAAACAGTTACATGACCTACAGCATGATCAATCAAGTTAATATTTTCGGACGACTAAACTACTATTGATTCAGAACACCGAAGAGTTACTGCAAGTCCCAAAGAAAACAGGAGCTGCCTCCACTATTCCAGCACCATTTCAACTTCAACATTTCAACATCATCAAATCACCTATGCTTAGTCTAATACAGTTACAACTAAAAGATTCCTAAAACTATTTAGTCCAATCAACGTAAGCTAAATATCATGTGGCTGTCCATGGTACTGATTTCTGTGTGTGCGTGTGTGTGCATGTGTGTATGTGTGTGTGTGTGTAAGTAGAAAAAACCTGTTCACTCACCCTACTTGAAGAGAAACACCAATGTCATCCTCCTCTCTTTCATGTTGCCGAAACGGTCTATGACTGTCATACAGTACACACTCTTAGTTTGTGTTGGCCTAGGCTACCTGGCTAAAATGCTTGCTCGCTAGCCTAACTTCCTTTCATGGGCAACGATTAGCCAGTTAGTTAACATTAGCCTACTACATCTACTGTTGCTACATATTGAACTTCCATCCTCTCAGGCCAGGGGCACAATGTATGAATTAATGGTTGGATCAGAATATCCGTTATAATCATTGGCCAGTACGGAGAAGTCCATCCATAGCTTATTTAGGATAGGGCCAATTTTAGCTAGCTAGCCACCGGAGGACAACAATACAATGAGATGCAACAAAATAAATTTTCTGTCAATGACATTTGGCTTTTGATGTGATGTGATTGGTGTGAATCCAAATCCAAACTGGCTTCCCTAGACACTTTTTTTTGGTGCGCCAAGACCATTCACAGTTGATTTCACTCAGTTTAGCTCAACGCTGATTGGCTATTATTGTATAATTTTTTTATCAAGGGAGGCCAAATGCTCGCTAGTTTCCCTTGCATTCAATGCGGCAACAATATCATACTCTTTTTGACCAGACACATTAGATAGATGGGCTACACAGACAGAGGGTCGCTGTTTTGCTCGCTCGAATGCTTTCTCTGGTGAGATCCATTCAGCCTCTTGCAAATTGAAGGAAAATTATGAAACACAGAGAGACGAAAGATCAATTATTGTTTATGTTTTATTCTTTTTTTATTGGTACATTTTTGGGGGAAGCCTGGCTTCCCTTGGTATCCATGAATACACACCACTGGCAATAGCTCGCTTGCTCCTTCACCATAGTTTTAGAATGAATGCCATCTAGTGGCAGTGCATTGTCAATTCAGGGAATTATAAAGCCCTGTGCAATGATGGTGATTTACTGACCTCTGCACAGAAATCAGAAAATAGCTATAAATACAAGGACCTGACAAACACTCATGTACCGCTCCCCCCCCCCCCCCCCCCCCCCCCCCCCACCCACCACCCCTCTCTCTCTGAATTACTTGTAAAAACAACACAGTCCTGTAATACTATCTGAAATCCTATCACACCCCACAATCCCAAACCCCCTCCAGAGGTGGGTATGGAGCATGTTCAGAGCTGTCTCTGCATGTCTGATGATGTACCTGTATCACCCATCCTCCCCCTCTCACTCCCTGGCTCTGCCAGGGCTCTCCCACGCTGCCTCACCCAGAGGTAAACAACATTCCTTGGCTCTGACCCCAACTACCACTGGCACCAGTAACCGTTAACCCTGCTGGGTTAGCCTGGTACTTCCTTTGTTCAACATCATTACATTATCAACCTAATATAAATGACCTGTAAAACGCTTTCTACTGGCCATACTGTTAACCCTCCAAACACTGTTAGACAAGCATATTCTTTGCTTACTGTTACCTGCATTGGGCTGCAGAACCGTATGTCCATAAAACAACTCTGTTAGAACAGGGAACATGACAACTCAACATAAACCAAAAGTGGATGTTGATTTAGATCTTTGCCTGGTAGGAAGACTGTAAAACAAATCTCTGAGATCTGCCTTATGTCACAGGGGTTCTGTAATGATAGACTAAATAGAGGACCTACAGCTAAGTCTACAATGAACTGGCAAATGGCTAATAGATAAGAACAAGAGACAAGAGACAACTAAGGAAATGGTCCTTACAGTGTTCCTTATGTTCCTTGGAGCAGCATTTTTACATAGTGAACTGTGTTTGATTTATGGTCAAATCAAATCAAATCAAATCCAATTGTATTGGCCACATGTGCCGAATACAACAGGTGCAGACATTACAGTGAAATGCTTACTTACAGCCCTTAACCAACAGTGCATTTATTTTTAATAAAAAAGTAAAATAAAACAACAACAAA